AATATGTTTGCGATGTTACTCTGAGTGCATATCCACACCGGGCGAGCTTGAAAAATATGCCCGGCCACGGTGGGATTCGAACCACGAATTCATATTACTAGAACACATTGGCATTGAAGGAACTAGATACTGTTCCGAAATATCACTTACTCAAACCGTCCTGACCGCGTACCTCAGTTGGAAGAGCATTGGGCTAGTATTCCAAAGGTCGTGGTTCGAATCCCACCGTGGCCGGGCATATTTTTCAAGCTCGCCCGGTGTGGATATGCACTCAGAGTAACATCGCAAACATATTATTCACCCGAGTACACAACACCAACACAGAAAAAAAAATTCATATTACTAGAACACATTGGCATTGAAGGAACTAGATACTGTTCCGAAATATCACTTACTCGAACCGTCCTGACCGCGTAGCTCAGTTGGAAGAGCATTGGGCTAGTATTCCAAAGGTCGTGGTTCGAATCCCACCGTGGCCGGGCATATTTTTCAAGCTCGCCCGGTGTGGATATGCACTCAGAGTAACATCGCAAACATAGAAAGCAGTATGTTTCAATAAGGGGGGTATTATAGTTCAGATGAATTGCATGTTTCCTGTGGAGTGCCTCAAGGTTCTGTTTTAGGACCGTTATTATTCCTTTTATATATTAATGACTTTGAAAATTGATCTGACCTTTTTGACTTTCATATGTTTGCTGATAATGCAAATCTATTTTTTTCGCATGATAGTATATTGAGGCTGGAGGACCTGATAAATCACAATTTGATTAAGGTACATTCTTGGCTGTCTGCAAATAAACTATGTTTGAATACTGATAAAACAAATTACGTTATATTCCGTACGCCTCAAAAAGTAATTACCCATGATTTTAAACTTTATATCAATTGTGACCCCATTAAACAAATAAGCTATGTTAAATACCTAGGTATCTATATTGACTGCCACTTAAATTGGAAAACTCAAATTCATAATATTTCAAAAAAAATTCAGAGGAGCATTGGAATTCTTTCAAAATTACGATATTATGTTACATTTAACATTCTTCTTCAGCTTTATTATTCTTTGATATACCCTTTTCTTACGTATGGAAAGATAGTTTGGGGAAACACCTACGAATCTTCCTTGAAATCATTAGTGCTCTTACAGAAACGAGTAGTACGTATAATCACTTTCTCAAGATATGATGAACATACTAGTCCTTTATTTAAAAATCTCGGTCTTTTAAAGCTCTTTGATATAATAAAGATGTCCAACTTATTATTTATGCACGATTTCTATACAAATAGACCCCCTACTGTCTTTAACGATTTTTTCTTTTTCGTTAGTGATAAACACAAGTACAGTACTAGACTAGCAACAACAATTAGTTATTGTATACCAATTGTAAGAACAAATTACGGTAAATTTTCTATCCGATCACAGGGACCCTATATTTGGAATGATATAGATGATAGCTTGAAAATTCTAACTAAATCAGTCTTCAAAAAAAAATAAATTAAAATCAAATAGATTTATCTTTAATCTTTATTCTTATTTCTGTTTTCATTTGCTTTCAAAATAACTAAAATCAAATTTATAATTAATGATTACTGGCTTTATACTTGCTTTTGTTTTTGCATATGTCTATAAATTTTAATTTGCATCTGTATAATCATTGTGCACCATGACCTTAAACCCAATGTTGACCCACAGTGGCTCGAATACTTTAATAAGGTTATCTGACTTCGATTAGTGTTAAAGCTATTTCAGATATCCTGTGCCAACTTTGTTTTAATAATGTGTGGAAAAAAATTTGCAATTATGTATTTTTGACTGGTGCGAACAAATTCTTCTTCTTCTTCATTTGATTAAATAAAGGACGAGAATGCGCTAGAGGTGGTGAATGAGAGATAATACGAACAGCCCGTTTTTGATAAAGAAATAAACGGTTTAGATGAGTTTTATAAGTTGATACCCATACAATAGTACAATATTGTAAATAGGGCAAGATGAGAGAGTTGTATATATATATAGCAAACGAAGGGTCGATATCTCAAGGTACTGTTTAGCTTTATAAAGTATTCCTATTGTTTTCGATACTTTTGCATTTGCGTTTTCGATACTTTGGCATTAATATGTGCGGTCCATGACAAATTCTGGTGAAGAAGTCACTTTATAAAATAACATGTATATAACGCGTATTCTGATTGGTCGAAAGCCGTGT